AACAGCGACGCTGTTTGTCGATCGTGTCTCTCGACAGCCTGAACCCCCCGGAGTCAAATGTCTCTGACAGAGACCCGCGCTTCTTTGGTCTACAATCTTCAGAGTGCTGGGCACCAAGTTGACTATGACAGCAGCGGATCATCCGCACTCTGATGGCCAGACTGAGCGCGTGATCGCGTCATTTACGACGTTCTTCGCAGCGTCTGCGCCGAGACGCCGAAGCGCCGAAGCGCTGGAGCGCTATGTTGCCACTCGTAGAGTTTGCTTTGAACAGTGCAGTGCATTAATCTACCGGCTATACGCCGTTCTACGTGAATGGACTTATTAATCTTCGCGTCCCGCTGACGCCACCATCCCATGGCTCAGGGCTTGGAGAGAGAGGAGTAGTCGAACGGCTAACCGATATCAGCCCCCTCATCGTGCGTAAAGAAGTCGGAGACTTCCTGTCGAATAGACTGAGTGTCGTACGACACATTCGCGATGCGATGGCTGAAAGTCAAGACACGCAGTAAGAATATACAGAAGGAAACAATTAAGAAGTGTTGAAAACGTTGAGGTCGGAGATCTGGTATTATTAAAAGCTAAGAATCTCGCTGCAAATGCAGTTTCTGTTGTCTTTAAGACAAAGCCCCGTCCACGATTTATCGGGCCTTTAGGGTCGTGACCAAGCGAGGCCTTGCGTATATGCGCACCCACCCGATGTTATATGTGGGCTTGCTTCAGTCGTAGTGGAACCCAGCGCAAGTAAACACGGAAGCGTTGGTGCCGGGCGGCGTCCAATGGCGTTCGGCCACCCAGAAGTTTAATCAGCAACTGGTTCAAAGCACGGAGTGCAACAACTTCCGTTTCCAACAGCGCAAGGCGCTCCACCGTCGCTCAAATTGACGTATTCGCCTGCTCGACGTCTAAGAGCCGCTTCGACAGAGCACGATGATCCTCAACGCGAGGCAGTCAGCGCACAAAGGGCTCCAGTATCTCGAGGTCTTTCGCGCAGCGGTAGGCGGCCTTGGAGTAATGCTCTGCAGAATGCCGATGACGAAGGTATTTATCCTCCAACGCTCGAAGAGCATCGCAAGTCACCGGAGGGCGATCGATTAATTCGTCATCGTCCACCGCCGATCCTTCTCGATGAGAATGGTGGTGTTCAGTACCAATTGGAGCACCTTGTGGACGACATCGTCGACGGGATTAGCCCAATATCTTGTGAAGTGTCGGGGATACCCAAACTCCGAGAACTCGTGGGAGTTTGAGGCGCCACTTTGGCAAGACTGCCCAGACGTCGTGGACGCTTATGATCAGAAGAATCATGACGCTTTGCGTCGTCTTGCGCAATGTGCTTCTAGGCAGTAGCCCAGGATGTCGGTGGGCCATGAACTGAGCTCGAGCTATGACCCTGGGCTGCTGTGGTCGTTAACTCACCCGTGTGAGAAACCACAGAGCTCGCAGGAGCGTGAAGGATCGTTCCCTATGTCGCAGGGCGACAATACGTAGGAAGTCGGCGATGCGCCTTGAGTTTGGCAAACTCAAATTTAAGATGGCGCTAAACGCGTACGTCCACTTCCTCGAGGACATGCTGTAAGGTAGATAGCGAAGAAAGTTTTCGGAGCCGCTGCACTCAACGCTCAAAGAGCTCATCATCATCTGCAGCATTTTTGCCAGGGGCGAGCACCTCAGGGGTGAACCGCATTGCGAGAACAGAAGCGCCTCCTTTTTGAACTCGAAGTCGAGCACAAAAGTGACTTTTTAATGATACAACCATGAATTGCTGGATCGCGGTACCGATCTATTAGATTATCTTGGGATACCAACAAAGTTTTTCGCCGATCAAGTTCAGCTTGTGTAGTGACCAGAGGCCCGACTACGCAGATTCCTAACGATCGAGTGATTGCGTCATTTGCTTCAGTAGCGGGATCCTCCGAGCGGAAGCCGAATTACACACGAGAGTCTCAGACCGAACGTCGATACGAGCGGAAGGGAGCCATCCTGAGAACAGCTTTTAATTACTGCTCTTGTGTCTTGTCGAGGCGATTGGTAATAATACTATTTTTTACCCGGAAGCTGAGAGGTCGGGGAACGGGCATGATATCCGTAGGGTTTGAGCTGTCCTCACGTCGTGCCGTTGGCACTTCACCTTCCTTGTCACCCGATGTTGGGAAAGGAGTGTCCGACTCGTAATCGATTTCCGCCAACTTTTCGAAGAGGAAATCCACCACCCGGGGTCGGCACGCTGTGTCGCGCCCTGTTGCGAAGGGCTTGGTATGTGCTTCCAGTGAAGCCGCGGACATAATGTCCCGAGATTCTCTCTGTGCAGAAGAAGAAGTTTTTTGCCCGAGGGCACCCTCTCAACCAGCTAGGCTGGATGCTATGCGTGTCGTATCGACAGGACTCATAGAGCGGAGAATGCTCAAAGTTGTTCTTGAAAAACGTTAAGGTGTCTTAGACATGCGATCTATGTATGGGACGACGCTTAAATGTGAGTTGGAGATATTACAATTTTAATGGGGAGAGTGTAACGGGGTTATGTGCCCTTGAAAGAAAGGCCAGGTCGCGCGAGTATTACACAGTTAGTGTAGTCATACAGTGATGTGGCTACACCGTAAGGAGAAGCCACCACGTGGCAGGATTGCCAGTAGTAATGCATATTACTTTATTAAATAGGTCTTGCTTTTTTAATTAGGTGTTACCATATTAATTAAGAAAACCTAGGCTTGTTGATATTGGCGGCTCTGCCGCAACTAAAACAATTATACACAGTCTCGTTTTAACAGAAGTGCTCGAATGCCTTGGTTAGGGCTTTAATACTTTGAAGTAGCGGATTGCGAACCGCTATCCTCGTACTGGATCCCAAAAAGAACGTAAGGTCGGTGACCACAGCTTAGTTTCCTCTAAGCAAAGAGCTACGGCAGCCCGCTGCAGTCTTCTTCTGCAGCACTAGAATTTTTTGTATTGCATTTCAAACCTATTTTCATGTAGATTGTGATCTGCATTTTTATAATTTGGCAATTGTGTGTCAATCTCCACTACGCCGCCACAGGCACGATTAGCATCTAATCAACGTGCTGTCCGTGTTGTCGTACTTGATAAGTAATTCTAAGGAGTCAGACTGTTAAGACATTTAATTTCATATCGCAACAGTACCTCAGCCTGTCATACAGATCACTAAAAGACACAAATGTTATCTTCTACGATGGATAGTCTATATATCTGCTATGTATGCAGTACTTTGAGCGTGGACGGCAGTCCTGGTAGGTGTGAAACTGGGAATATCGACACGTCGAGCAGCTTTATCTTCCAGCTTCTTTGTACTCCTCTTCTTTGAGATGACATTTACCAAACTTTTTTTGCCATGTACACCACACGCTGGTACACGTAGGCAAATTGATCAGCAATTCTTTCAGTACAGCATATATTAGCCACAGCATTAGTCAAGTGCCCGGAATTTCGTCACACACTTGTCCGGCAGTGTATAACTCACATTTCCCTTCTCAACCATCGTTCATCGCACGAGATTTATACTTAGCGGTCACGTAATTAGAGTCTTCAAGTCGAGTACAGTCTTGTCGTTCCCTGGCTCAATTCGTAAGACGGTGATGCCACAAGGAACGTCGCACACATGCTGGTGAGTTGCATAACCTCATCGGTGTTAAGTCTTCATCAGCAGCAGCTTCTTAGGCTTTTCAAGCGAGATGATGATAACATCTAGATAAGCTGACTGAATCGATATTTGCTTTTCATATCTACCCGAGAGCACAATTTCTTGACCACGCTTTCGGCGTTTCTGTATCATACCTTTACCCTGCCTACATATGCCTTTTAGAGAAGTGGTTCCTTTACCCTGTCCACATATACCTTTAAAAGTGCCCTCATACTGACCCATCCACTCACTAGATTTTTTCTACTATGGCATTACTTAAGTATAGTTTACACAAGTAGCTAGATACAAGCGCTTGATCTTCTTGGACATTACGATTGCACATATTTGCTCGCGTAGGAGTACACCGTCCGTGTATACATGCATACACCTTCCGTATTCTTTCGATCCATGCATTTTCTTTTGAGGTAACCATATGCCCCGTCTTCTAACTAGTGACGCGCATGAATGGATTAATGAGATTCCCGCTGTCCCTATCGACTGTCTAGCGAGCCTACAGCCAAGGGAACGGGTTTGGAATAAGCAGCGGGGAAAGAAGACCCTGTTGAGCTTGACTCTAGCCTGACGTTGTAAAATGACTTGATCGGTGTAAAATAAGTGGGAGACTTTGCCGTCCGTGTAAAACCACTACTTCTAATGTTGTTTTACTTATACCATCATGTAACAACTGCGCGGCTTCGCGGTCGTTTAAGTTCCAGATATAAGCTTGAACTTTGTTTGAGTGAGTTTCAGGGACGTCTTGTTCGAATGTTGAATGATTGTGATATGTTAGCTGTTGACGCGATAAAATTGTCCCGGAAGTGTAGTATCAAAAGGTTATACTTTCCAGTAAGTAGCGCTTTCCAATGAGTGGCTACAGGAAATAATAGGAGGAACTGTTGGTTTAATAATGTAAAATTTGCGCGAATTGTTTTTGAAGTGAACGTTAGTAATAAAAAGAAGAAGAAAGTTTTGTTTGAATTTAGAAGCAGCACCAGCAGTCGAAAGGGCAATCCTGAGTATTGCCACCCTTGCCGATCTGAAGTGCTGCCTCGGTATAAATTGGTAATCCATCTTCGTCGTAGCGTACTGAAAAGATTAAATTAGCGCGTTGAAATTTTAAAGCACGATGACATGAACCTACCAGGTCGCGGGTCTGGATTTAACCCACAGGCAGTTGAGTTCGTGTCTGTAAAGAATCAATACAAAAAAACATAGGACTGAGACGCATATTAACGATCGAATCGCTCAGCAAAACGACGTACTCTGTGCCTCGAGCTTTTTAATCTGCTGCTGGAGCCGCTCCCTTTCCTTTTTTTCACACCGCTCTTTTACCTCCTTAGCCAGTTTTTGATTCTCTTCAGCAATGTTCTTCTTCCGCTTTTTTGTCTTTAAAATAGCAAATAGGTCATCGATCTCGGCACTATTAGCCTCTATCTTTGCATTCTTCTTTGTCATCGCGGTGTCATCAGCTTTCTTTCTAGTTTTCTTCTTTGCTTTCTTCTTCACTTTTGCAGCTTCTAAGCTTGAATGATCTGTTAATGTTCTATCAGTAGATACTTTCTTGACATCCTCCGAAATTCTGTCCTTTAGACCCGCTGTCTTGGCGTCTATCGTTAGCGTCTTTGCGAACACATGTTTGGTCTTCTTTTTCGTTGTCTGCTGGGACGACACGGGTGATGCAACCTGAAGCACATCCAATACGCATAAAGATTGTCAATATTGCAATATTTCTATTCGAGATCGTGTAGTTATCCTCCTCTTACGGCTTCGCGTTTCTTCTTGTTAGCCATTTGTGTCGTGGTAACCAATTACTTTGTATAATACCGATATTTGAGCATATGTTTATGAAATGCATCAAATAAATAGACTTGTGGCTTGATACTTAGTAGACATTTTAAAGATAGTTCTATACTTTTCAAACTTGTAAAGATAAGCGTTTTGAGATTATATTTGCAGATAACTGACTTAATAAACTCGATCGTATCTATATGCATGGATCGGCTGCAATCTCCGCTTCGCTTTTTCTTGCCTCTGCATTTACCAAACTGTGTAAACAGCGCTAAGAAACCTAGCAGCAACTGCTTTTCTTCTTTTTCTTTTGAGTTTCACTAGTGTTCTCGGCCGTGATTGCAATGCTATTACCTGTGGGCAAAGTAGCTGTCGCATTTTCCTCGGCTTGAATGGTCTTACGACTCATAAGCTTATAGATCTCGGTTAGAATACGCTGGAATGCAGTGTCAACACCTGTAGCTTCCAAAGCCGACGTCTCGATGAACGCCAAGTTGTTTTTTTCTGCAAAAGCCATGGCCTCTTCTGTCGACACTGCACGCAAATGGCGCAGATCACTCTTGTTACCTACCAGCATGATAACTGTGTTGGCGTCAGCGTGATCTCGCAATTCTTTAAGCCAACGCTCTACGTTCTCAAATGTGCCATGCTTAGTTATGTCATAAACAAGCAATGCGCCTACTGCACCACGATAATATCTAATAACACATTTATCACGATATCAAATAACAAAACCAACCGTAAGAGTAACTTTAAACTAATAACGTACGCGCTGGTGATTGCTCTATATCGTTCCTGTCCAGCAGTGTCCCAAATCTGTGCCTTTATGGTCTTGCCCTCGGCCACAATGGATTTAGTAGCAAATTCAACACCAATCGTGCTTTTAGACTCGAGATTAAACTCATTTCGCGTAAACCGAGACAACAAGTTTGACTTGCCGACACCCGAGTCGCCGATCAACACGATCTTGAACAAGTAATCGTACTCATCTTCACGAGGTGACGCCATGGACGATATTGTTATAACCTATGCACGTGCGCAAT